GTTATCCTACTACTTATAATAAGAGAGAATTTAACATTACAAAAAATGTAACTTTTTTTTCAAGTAGTCACTGAACGATGAAAATGAGGTCAAGGACATTGGACATGTGACTGACGGAAACTTTGTAACATGAGGCATCCATATACAAAGTATGAAGCATCCAGGTCTTCCACCTTCTAAAATATAAAGCTTCTAAGAAGTTAGCTAACGCCACCGCCGCCCGATCACCATCCCTATGTCGAGCTTTCTGCGACAAAAGTCGCAGGCTCGACAAAAACTATAACACAATTTTCCATCAATTCGGCCATTACGGCCTTCTTCATTGGAATAAATTACAACATTGAAACAACAATTACATCGCTTGGATACATTACGTTATAATAACTACTATGACGTTCATTTGCCGTGTTTTTTTCTTTTTCATAGAAAACGGACAACTTAAAACAGATCTTTTTACAAAATCCACAGAAAAACACCAGTACTTGCATGTTTCGTCAAGCCATCCAAATTCTGTAAAAAATGCTATACCATATGGACTCGGTATTCGTGTCAAAAGAATTTGCTTAACAGAAGAAAATTACAAAATAAGAAAGAGAAGAAATAAAAACGCACCTGAAAAAACGTGGATACGATAACTCGTCAACTGAAGTTCAATTAAAAAAAGGTAGACATTCTAAACCAAGACGATCTATTACAGTACAAACCAAAGAAAGAAAACGACAGAGTACCCTTGGTGATTACTTTTCCAAAGCACTTCCAAATATACATTCAATTCTCAGAAAAAATCTTAAATTCTCCATCAATCTAACAGGCTAAAGAAAATATTCCCCGATCCGCCTATCCTAGCATTTAAACGTGACAACAACATAAAAGACATCTTAGTGCACAAGAAGCACAATTTACTTTTTTATAAACAAACTAATGGCTGTGGACCATGCGGTAAAAATTGTGCATTATGCTCACACATAAATGAAACCAAGGTATTTTGTGATAACACCGGGAAAGAATATATCAATCATTCAGGGACAAATAAACTGTAAAACCGGGGGCGTAGTATATGCAATTAACTGTACAAAATGTAAACAAATTATATATGTAGGACAAACGGGTGATACACTTCATTCAACATAATCATTCGATGAAAAATTTAAAAGTTACCGCCATAGAAAGAGTATTTGGAACAGAAATTTACAGAAAAACTAAAGAAGCCTTTTGGATAAAAAAATTAAAAACTTCAGAGCCTGAGGGACTCAACATACTGTATGAATGATAGTGAAAATATTTATAAAAAAAGAAAAAAACACGGCAAATGAACGTCATAGTAGTTATTATAACGTAATGTATCCAAGCGATGTAATTGTTGTTTCAATGTTGTAATTTATTCCAATGAAGAAGGCCGTAATGGCCGAAACATAATTCTAGATGCAGATCCTTTATCCCCCTCAGCCCCCTTATTTAAAAAACTTGGGTGGATGACAGTTGACAATAGAATCAAATACCACAAATATTTACTTGTATATAAATGTATGCGTATGGAAGCACCAATGTACCTAGTTCAAAAGTTTAAACTGAAATAAGATAATAATCCTAACTCCTTGAGAGGTGTCACTCAAGGTAATCTGATAGTTCCTAAGCCAAAAGCTGAGCTATTTAAGAAATCTTTTGTTTATTCTGGATCAGTGTTATGGAATGGACTACCACACAAAAACACTTATACTTTTAAACAAAGTATCAAGAATTACTTAACACAGTCCTGATAAGATTATGTTTTCTACAATGTATTTGTATATTTTTTGTTTTTTTTATTTTTATTTGATTTTTTGACTACATGTGTGCTAGCGTGTATTTATTCATGATTGAATAAATATTAATATGATTTTGTAATTTGCATTTTAGTTCTTATTTGAATTTACTTTAAAATAAAGATGATTATATTCCTAATTCATATTTGTGTTTTCGTTTTCAAATAGATTAATTACGGATTGTAATTAATTATGAGTTGTACTTTTCGTATTTTATATTCACAGACTTTGACGATTGACTAGTTTCGTCTTGATTGTTACTCACTTCTACTATTTTGATGGTCAGTGTTTTACGCTTGATTTGACCGCACACTTTCTGTTATTTCATTGGTTATATATCTTTTGGCGGTTTATTTCTATTGAAGTCTATAGTTAATTGTGGATTGATGTTCAAACCGAACAGACGTTTCATATATTTTCTTTAGTCTGTATTTGCTGTTTCATATTTTGTATTATTTGTATTGGAGGAATTCCACGATTATTTCAGGTCAGTTTGCTTACTTATCTCTTTAGATATTCTGTCTATATCTTATTTTCATCGTAATTTTATTACCGGATTAATCAATATTTCACGCACGAGTAACTTTCCATTTTAGCATGACTTCGTAGTAAGAATGTGTATCGTTTGACTGGTGAATGAATGTTGTAAATTATTTAAAAGGTTAACGTAACTTTTATAACAGGCACATTATTATTTTACATTTGAGTTACATAATTTAAGCCTGGAAATAAATAAGTGTAAAGATAAACGTAATGAATGGCGAATATTTGAGCAGAATGAGTCCGAGAGTAAATGAGTAAAATGTTAACTTGATAAATACTTTTCAGAGTCTTTATAACATTTTTGTCTCAGATTAATAGATTTTAAGTACTATAAAAGTCTGTGCATAGTAACTATAATTTAGTATTTGTTATACAGGTTTTATGACAGAGTTCTGCATATGATGTAGTAATACGTTGAGGCATAACCTTTGTACCTCATACGAGGTAAGAATGAGTGTTTCAGTTGTAGTTGCTTATTATTTTATTAGCTTAGTTATTTTGCTTTGTTTAGCTTAGCTTAGCTTTATTAGTTAACTGCTTTTCGCTATTGGCTTTATTAATGCTTATTTTGCTTAGACTGTTTGTTTATAGTTTTAACGGCTAATTCGTATATTATAATGTTATTGCTAAATGAGGAACTATATTTCTATTTTGCTCTTTTGACAAGTTTAATTCTGTTTGGAATGTCACAGGAAGTAATATTTTGATAAGATAAGGTTTAATTGTGCATTTTGTTAATTTCATGAACTGTGACGTATTTTACAGTTAATTGGTTAATTTTTGTAAGTACACAGATTACGTAAATTTATCATATTGATATAGTACATGTTTTAAAAGAATTAGTTTATATACGTTGTTATTAAATGTGATATTATATTACAGGGTTTCATTTGATGCTTCACGATAATAAAAACTATCCAGAACCCTACATAGTCTACTATTTATTTACGCCCCAGATAGTGCGACTACACATGTACATCTTGAACAGCTTTATATCTTATCATGTTAACAATATTACATTGAACTACTTGACTGTAAATTAACTATGTGTAAATATCTGTTTTTGATTGTACTGTAATTTGTATGTGAGGGCCTCAGGGAAGATTAGTTTATTGTAACTAACTGAGTTTACCCTCGTAAAATAAAGAATTTATTATTATTATTATTATGGAAAATTGTGTTATAGTTTTTATTATATATATATGGATATGAATATTTGAACTAGAAGCTCAAAGATTTCACTAAGAAATAAAGTGACCTTATTTAGGACTGCAATCACTGGGAATTCACTGAACTTGATTGCAACTATGTGTAAAAAATGAAATTAACACTTATTAAATTTGGTGTGTATAAAGCACTTTTATGGATTTACCTTCATCTGACAGGAATGCTCAAACCCATGACTTTTTGAAGCTACCCGAGTTAACCCGGGCCCACATCAACCCTGGGTTGAGGCAGGTTTAGTAGAGTAACAAAATGGGAACAAACAAGAACAGCAAAGAAGAGTATGATACAAAATAAATGAAATTTTACCAAATACAGCAAAAGAAAGGACTGTTTGTGTTTATTAAAGTGAAATTTATTTTTTGGCTGTATTTTGGCATTGACAAATATTTTTCATTTGTAAATACTGTTGGTGATGTTTATCGATAGAACAGAAAAAAATACATTTTCAGTTCTTTGGGTAGCTAAGAGTGAAATATGAAAGTATTACGAAAATCTATTCCCTTTACTTGTATAGGGGACGACAGGGCAGGAGGATTTTAAAATGAATAAATGATAGAAGTTCTTTAGTTTAATACTGTTACCAATTTGAACAAAGTTGTTCATTGTCGACCTCTATAAAAAGAAAATTAACAACAGCTGCAGTATATCTATATCTTCCTTTTTGAGAGTCAACTGAAGAGTTTTCACTTCAAAATTTTTTTGAAAATGGTTGTGCACATGGGCATTATCACTGATTTTATAACTCTAGTCAACCCGAGTTGGATGAATCTAAGTAGGCCAGGGAGTTGGAACCCTAGCTAGTTTCTAAATAATTCATAAATGTATCAACAGAGAAGGTATATGCTAATTCATAATCATGTCAGCACAGAAGTACTGTCAGACTACTGAGCTGACCCTCAAGGACTATCAGTTGTATTAATTCAGTGCTAATTTTAATTTAAGGGAAATAACTCCAACCAAACAGTAATTTTTAGTGATTTTTTGATAACTTTGCTTTAACAATTACGCAGAAAGGTGGACAAACAAAATGTGTTCTTACAACAATGCTTGAATATCCTAAATTGATATTCTCAAGTTTAATGTTTGTTTTGTCCTTGTTGTCTTTTGAATTGATACATCTTGAATTTAATGTATTTCTTTTATCGTTTTGGCGGGTGAAATTGTCAAAATCTGAGAACTGTCCAGACCATGCCATCTTTTTTTGTCGTCTGCTATGCTGTGAAAGATAAAAGTGGACAGATGCACGTGCAGTACTGTACCCTCTCCGAAAAATCAAATGAATTCAAAATTTTAAGTATTACCAATAAAAATCCTAATATAATCTAAAAACCAGTAAAAACGTTAGAACAAATTACATACAACAGTCACCAGAGTAAACAATCAAGGTGTCGAAAACGCTTTCATCAAGTTTCTTTTTACTTCACTTCAAAGCGTGTGAGTCATTTGGACTATCCCGATGGAAGAAGGCAAGGGTGACAGCTCGAACAAAAGTGTTATTCGTCGCTTTTACACCCTTTTTGATTACAACGATAGCATGTAATGCTTTTTAATTCCATTGTAGAAAGAACACACTTACTATTGCTGAAACCTGTTCACTAGATTAGTTTGAAAGGGATAGATGGAACCATAACAGCTCGACCCAATAACAAATCGACCCTGACCAACTCGCCCCCACTTTTGATTAACTCGACCCACTACCGAACAGACATTTAATCCTCCTGAATAAATACCTGCCAACCCTCCCCAATAATGAAACTGACTTGTTTAAGATTATCCTGCTGAACTTTGATTCATGAATGAAAACCTGCCAACTCGCACTTCTAAATTAACGAAAAGGAGTTATATACATCTTATCACTATCTGTCCACCACTATTGGACATCTCAAAGGTTCCCGTAAAATCTTTTTGTCTCAATAGAAAATGGCTGATGCCACAAAGGAAAAGTGATTGTTGTAACTAACTAACTAATTTTATTCAGTATAAAATCCAGTACAAAAGGATCATCGCTGAAATACATGAAAACAAAGAAAAACAAAACAAAAATAAAACATAAAGAGACAACAATGTGACACTTATAACAAACAATAGACAAAGCAACCACTTCAATATTATGCAATTATTCCTACTGATGAATTTCGATTGTTGTATATTATTGCTATTTATTCCAATCCAGACAATATAGTTCATTTATATGTTTTGGAGTTTAGTGTGTCGTCCATTTTCATTGAACTAGTACACATTTTTGTTTAGGGGCCTGCTGAAGCCCGCCTCTGGGTGCTGTATTTTCTCGCTGTGTTGAAGACCCATTGGTGGCCTTCGGCTGTTTTCTGCTCTTTGGTCAGGTTGTTGTCTCTCTGACACATTCCCCATTTGCATTCTCAATTTTAAGTTCTGAATTTACACAACTTGTTCATGACGTCACAGTCTAATTTTTCAAAGAGACATGTTTAAACCACTGTAACACTTCAAACAAAGTATTTTCATAACTTTAATATGTATTTCAAAAAATTGGATCATAATCTATAAAAATTTCAAAACGTTCACTTTCTAAACTTTTTCCTCCCTCAGCTCATTACTAATGACCTTTGTTTATGCAACACTTGACCCAAACAGGAAGTTGTTTTAGCAGTCAAGGGTATAACTTAAACAAGTTATTAAAGAAAATATTAAGGCACACTTATTGTGGGAATGAGGACAACATATGTTAATACAATATGCAATGAATTTAATCATGTTAATTAGATACATGTACAACAACAAATGTATCAATTTTGAAGAAAAATATACACCATTGACAAGCACAAGAGAACCTACAGTACTATTACAATTTATTATAACCTATATTGTTATAAAGATATTTACACATATATATAAACAATAAACTGCGCATGGACATCTGATTAATAATTAATGATTTAATTTTAATTTGTTTTAGCAACACTGAAGATGTGGATGATGTTGAAGAAGAGGAAAGTTATAGGTTTATATACTTATTTGTGCATTTTACTGTATGTCCAGTAAATGGTAGTTCTACCTTTATTTATTGTAATACAGTGTAGAAATATGGTACCAAAGATATTTATTAAAGTTAACTTATAAGATAGTACCTGGTAGATGTTTCTGTACTTTAATTTATTGGCAATTTGTACATTTTGCCTTTGATCTTACTACCTAATATTTTTAAGATCATGGACAGGACCTGATACTCAAAAACATTTCTTCACATTATACAAAATGTATTTTGTATTTTTAGCTTAACAGTGCTATGTACAGATGTTCCAGCTTCTCTAGAAATCGAACTAAGGAAATTATTGTCCCAAAAGCTATCAAAAAGTGCTGTGTATTTTGGTGCTGGCAGTGTAACACAGTTTGATGTTAGGTAAGAAATAATTGTTTACATTAAAATTGTTGTTAATATAAGTGAAGACAGGACATTTTTGTCAAAAGTTTGTTCATCACATTGTGTTCATGAATGACCTTGGTGATTTGTGCTGAAGTTGCTTTGTGACAGAAACTTTGAATTATTAAAATGTACCAATCAATGCATTGGTTAATTTGATTATTATAATATACAGTTGAACCTTCTTGTGTCTAAAAATCGGATGAGTCTAAGTAATTTCTCGGTCCCGGTAAAATTCTGTTTGATCAATGCATTTTAACCTCTGATGAGTCGAACTCAGTTAAGTTGAGTTAATTTTATAGTCCTGTAGATGTAAAATTAATGTAAATCGACCCTGATGTCTCCAAATTCGAAAGTAAGAAATTTAGAAAAATGCAGACTATAGATAAAAATTCAAATTGGATGTTTTCCTTATCTAACCTAATCGTTTTCATAAGAGCTTAAAGCTGTGTAATCATACTTGTTTGTATTACAGTTAAAATGACATGGTTATCAAGACCGGTAATTAACACCTTTGTGATCCCTCAAGCAGAACTGTAGTGGGCTGAACATATTTCAATTGATATAAAAATAAAACCCATTTAAATTACCCAAGCCAAGACTAAATGAATTGCTAGAATTAGCATTCCTTAATTACAATAATTAAAAGGATTAAGACAATTTTGATACATTCAGAATCATTAAAGGCAAAGCAGAAGTCCCTCATTACTGACATTAGTGATCTTTGAAGGCTTGTTTTGTTCTGCTAGTAATTCCATACTTTATATAGACAGACCTTTATAAATTTTATTTGTGAATGTTTTGTATCTGTACTTGTGACGTCACTTATGTGTTTAATTATTATGATTAACCAAGAAATATGGTACTTGAATATACAATCATAAATTGTCATATAGAATAAAAGGCACAATGTTAGAAATATCTAGTTAACACAAATTTCATACGGTATTTCATGCTTTCCAAATTTATGACCACACACTTGACCTTGGATAAGTCAAATACTTTGTCTGGTCCCTTTGACTTTGACTTAAAAAAGTTTGACTGTACGTGTATATGTTTTCAATTATAAGAGATAACTAGTAGGTGGAAATTTAAGCAAGAAATACATCTAAAAATGACCATCTGATCTTGAAAAAATGTATGTATGATAGAAAAGATGTTTAAATGATTCAAAATAAAAGATTTTTTTATACTAAAATTACTCTTTTCATCTTTTAAAACAGACAGAATAGAAGGAGATGAGTAGTACAAGTCACAAAATAAAATACATTGCAAAAATTTCTGAATTTACAGTACATGTATTGATTTGCTTATTATAACATAATTGGATCTGTTTCAGTGATGAAGAGAAAATCGAGACATGGTCTTGTTATTATTGTATGCTGAAAGACAAAGAAATTAGAGAAGATGGAGGCAATGTGAAATATATAGTTTGTTTTCTTGCTCCTGAAGCAGAAATGTTGGAGATATATCCTAACATAAACTGATTAGGTTCATGATGTCTTTGTACATATATTTTCTATGGGAAGAATTCTTTAAAAGTCATACAGTGTCAGATATACACACTTTTTAGCCATTAACGGAAATACAGTTTTCTCTTAAATTTTTAACCTCTTTATTGCAAAAGCATCCTTTACCCTATTTTGATGACAAAACCAATATTCAAGCATCACTCTCTGGTAAAGTAAGCATCACTTGGAACTCATTTGCATCAATTTATCAAAGGTTTATATAGAGTCCTTGTTGCACATCTCCCTAAAAAAACAAAAGTTTTACCCCATTTATCAATATTTAGAATGCCAAAAAATGGATGATGCAAAATTAATCAAAGCCATATAGATCACCAGCTGACACAATGTTAGTATACACAAATTACAAAATATGGCCTTTTATTAAAGTGGTCCCTATATTTTAGGTTTAGGGTTCATTTATGATTATGATTAGGTTAGGGGTTGTTCTAGGTTAGAGTTAGGTTTTAGGGCAAGGGCTAGGGTTATGTATGGTTGAGAGTAATGGTTAGGATACAGGATAGTTTATTATAGCTTAATATGGGTTGGGACCCCTAAAGTAAAAAAAAAGGCCCATAATTCTCTTCTGATTATGATTTAAGGTGTAAATTTTTTCCTTAACTGTGATTACATTCACCCAAGATTTGGATGCTTACTGTAAAAAATTATCAGAGGAAATAAGAAATGTAAGTAAAAATATATTTAATCATGTTGATTTCCAAATATATGTTATACATAATGTAGCATACCATCAAAGGAAGAAATTTTCTATGACTAAGGTTTAGTTTAACTGTTATGTGTACCAAGATCCCTGAAAAGTTTGCTTTTTATGATAATTTCTGTATAAAAACAGACAAGGAAAGTGTACACTGTACATATGAAATTCTCCAAGTCTTTAAAATTTATTCTTTTAAATAGTTCAAAACTGCCTCCTTAATTTTCAGACATACATTTTTATTTGCAGTATATCAATTTTGATACTAAGATGTCAGTCACAACACACGATAACTTAGAATTATCAAGATTAATATGACCTTGACCTTTGACTTCTGTGTCAAATTATTAAATTGTTAGGCTAGTTAGCAATTTTTTATCTTTAAAAGAAAAGTATCTGGCTTGTGCATGTATCAACATCAGATGAAATACCACATATACTTGTGACTTGTAAATGACATAGACCTTTGACCTCATGATGTAGTCATACATTTTTTAAAGGTAAGTTCAAGTTTTCTTCATACAGCTTAGCTGCCCCAAATGTGTTTAAATCATGAAAACAAATACAATTTATATGTATATCCTGATATATTTCAGAAAACAGATGTACTAACCACTGCCAAAAAAATCTTGGCAAAATGGCATGAGACAATATTAGACTTTCTGTGTCGATGTGTTCAGCTTTTACAGCAAGATGTTAAATTTCTTTTATATTGTGTAAGTACTAGACTGTTTGTTAGTAGAAGAGTTAATTAAAATACCATAAAGTTTATACTTTAATTATGCACTCTCAAACTATACAGATATATGTATACTATTCAGCATGTCCCTGTTGAGGTCTGTCCTTATGATATCTTAGACCAACATCTCATCATCCACAGAAAGATGTCAACCAAATTTCTATCATTTTTTCATTTTTTTTTATACCCTGTCTACGATAATAGTTGGTCATTTTTTTCTGTATTTATGTGCCTGTTTGGCTTCTTCATCCTCGGAACACTGGCAATCTTGTTCCAACAAACTAAACTATCCCTTCCCATACTTCCAATTTTGCTTTCTAATTGCATAAATCCTTCAAATTCTTCACTTTCGCTATCCGATTTGAACAAAGTAGCCAAATCAACCGCCATAGTTTTAATCGCATTCAGAACACGTGTAAAATTCATCATAATTAAATGTAAACACACACTGTTTATATAACTACATATAATTAGTTTGTAATTTATTTTGGATATTGTTTTATGTCTTTAATATCGTTTGTGGTTTTAATTCTATTTTTATTTTCTATATATATGTAAAAGTAAAGATAATTAATCACCTAGTTCATTTGTATGATCTTTGGTTTTAAGCAACTATATGCACAGGATTTATTTGTTTTTACACAGTTTGATTCAGAAGAAAAATCGACTTGGTTAGAAAATACAATTAATTACACCATTACTAACACAATTCTATATTAATATTCTTGTAATTGTTAGAAAATACATCAAATAACACCATTACAAACTTAATCCCGATTTTACATTCAATTTTTAGAAATTTACCTGTGACCTCACTTTTTGTGGCATTGATACATTGGTGTGATGCACAGTTCATAATTCTATTATGCTGTTTTTGTGTACTGTCGTAATTTAATTTTAGGTGTTTGTTGTTATTCTGTGGTTTACATGTCGAAATGTACTATTACAGTTAACTCTCGTTGTCTCGAACTCGGTTGACTCGAAATTTCGGATGAGTCGAAGTTTTCCCGTGGTCCCGAACTTTGTGCCATATAAATGTATGTATTCCGACTCCTGATGAGTCGAAATTGGATGAGTCTAAATTTCTGTTGACTCGAACTAAATTTACGGTCCCAAGGTTAACAAAAGCATTCAAAATTCATTGTTTATATCGAACTAATACACATATGTCAAAACATGACCTCGGGGATTTAAATGGATTGAAGAGTTAATCTGACAATACACGTGTAATTAAATTTCCGGTCACTGAGCACTGTATTGATTTATGACATTCTTTATCCACGAGTGTTTACCTAAGATTATCTTTGATCACCATGACAAATAATTAGTTCTACTTTGTTATAGTTTATGAAAAATAATTCAAAAAGTTTTAAAAACAATTAACTGTAATCATACACTAATGAGCTTGGTTGTGTATAAAGTAGGGAATAAGACTTCCGTTGGTGATCAACTCAAAACTACTGAATCGGCGTCTTTAATCTTTTTGTTTTTTCTCTTGCAGAAAAAGATTGAAAATAAAAGAAAATGAAAAGAAATCTAAATTTTTAAATTTCTTGTATATGAGAATGAACAATTTTGTCAACTTTAAATAACGCTTAGATCGATTGGAAATTACTCTCTCGGATCAAAAACAACCGGACAAAATTGTAACTGTACAAAGAAATAAATAAGAGATGAAAAATGTTATTATAAAAGACCATAACATCTAGATACATCAATCTCCTACCCATATTCATTTGGATTTATTTTAGCATTACCAAGCTAAGCACGAGTTGTAACCCTTGGTCTGTCAAACTTCCGGTTTTCGTTTGAGTTGAACTACGGGTATCTCGAAATATTCCTCTGGTCCGGCGGACTTCGAGATAACGAGAGTAGACTGTATATTATTTATTTATGTATTTCTCTGTCCTGAGTGTTCTTGCATTTATTTGTACTGTATTCCTGTTACGTAATGTTGTCATTTTAACAGTATTTTTAACATTGCCATATAAGTGGGAGGTTTGGCTAGCCATAAAACCAGGTTCAACCCACCATTTTTTCTTAAAATGTCCTGTACCAAGTCAGGAAAATGGCAGTTGTTATCAAATAGTTCGTTTCTATGTATGTTGCATTGGCACTTGTTTTGTTGCTCTTCAGTGTTTCTGTTGTTCCGTTGTTTTCCTCGGTTTTAGTTTGTAACCCGGATTTGTTTTCTCTCAGTCGATTTATGACTTTTGAACAGCGGTATACTACTGTTGCCTTTATTTATAGAAAAGGAATGTACGAGTCGAAAGATTATTCATTTGTAAAACCGAATTTCATTGGTTCATTTCGGGATTCCCCAACAGATTTGTCCAATCTAAAGGGTTTTAACAGTGGTATATTTTACAGAAATATCCATCACCAGGACTGCCCAAGTGTATGTTTACAGCGGATCTATCAGTCACTGTGAATACACACTTGATTATGCAAGCGGATTTATCAGTCACTGCAGATAGAACGATGATAAAAACCGCATATATATATCCGTCAGTGGTAGATAAAGAGTTAATTACATGATAAAAGCTCTACCATTTTATTGTTTATGACTTTAAAATCATTTAATTAAACAATTTGATAGACTTAAATGAAGATTAAATACATGGTTTAATTGTTCCCTATTAAAGGCTCTTTACAGTGAAGACTTTTTATAATTTTGTTTTACTTTTGTTTTTCTTTTTTTCTTTTTTTACTTTTTTTTCATTTTTTTTTAAAACTTTGTTTTAAAACTTTTTTTTCACAATTTTGGAGGGAAACAAAGGGGGTGCGTATTATACACTACTGCGTTCTATACACGGCTAAATACGGGGTATATAAAAATAAGATGATGTGGTATGGTTGCTAATTAGATAACTCTCCACCAGAGACCAAAAGACATAGAAGTGAGCTATAGGTCACTGTACATATGCTTGATTTAATTTGACTTTGTTATGCATTTAAATTAGTATAATGACCATTATTCTTATTTAGGGTTTCTCTGACTTTGTGCTTTTTGTTTAGATTAAACAGGTTTTATTTTTGTCACCAGGATTTAAAAAAAATTTCATACTTTATATCAATCTATAAATCCATCTGAAGCTTCATTACAGCAGCACATTGGAGTCTTAGTAATGTTAACTACCATCTTTGTATTTAAGGCATTAATTGATGGTTGTTTAAAAGCTGATGGAGGAAAAGAATCAGTTTGTTCTGATCTCAAAAGGTAAGTTGTTTTTTTTTAGTTTAGTTGCATCACACTATATTTTAATGTTCTGCTTATTTTTCTGTATAAAATGTTGAGGTTTGCTCTAACCTGTGTACCTGTGTAATCTTTTGATTCATGTGGCCAATATTTCACATAATGATATGTTTTCTATGCCAGAAATATCCCAGAAATGTCCCCAGATAGAATATATAAATTAGCTATTGGTGTAGCAAAGTTCTACCCTTTCTTTTTTCTTTTGTTATGCTTTACAATTAACCATGGTGCAAGAAATTTTGTTCTTACAAACTTTCTCACAACATGGGTTTTAATTGTTGGACTAGTTTAGGTTGAAATTATGTAAGGTTGATCATCATGTTTTACTGATAAAACTAATTTTGATTTTAGGTTCGTGAAATTGTGCAATATGTCCAATATGTTTGGAGAAGAGTCTACAGGTAGTATGGATATGTTGGTAGATATCTCATCAGCAACCATACCTCAGAAGTCTGTAGCTGTTACATTCAGTAATGATCAACCCATGTTTGAGAACATTAGTAAGTATGCTGTTTGATCATGAGAGAGATTGTTTTGTTTGGTTTTACTATTTATGTTCGTAAATACATTCATGCAATGGTTTAAGTTGAAATATAGCAAAGTTAACTGTCCCTCTGTCTACTTCACTTTCTTTGTTTACTTCTAAACTTTGAGTTAAATATATTTGTTGTTTTTATATATTTTACTTTCTTTAAGAAAAGCTATGTACTTTAGTAGTGCATCCAGTTTCCAATATCAGGTTTCTTCATTTAGGATTCTAAGTTGACATTATTGAGGAGGCAAAACAAATATTAATTGAGCATTGCTAAGCACTTGTTCAAGTGAAATACATGAGAACTTAGCCATTCTTACATATGTTTGAATAATGAAATGAATCAAATGATTCAGTAATGATAAAAAGTTAATATAACAAGAGTTGCACAACTAGTTCCCATCTGGATATTAATAAGTTGTTGGTATACTTTATCAGTGTTTTCTTTTGTCCATGATGTTTAACCATAACCTGTGATTTATTTAAGTGAATGAACATATTTGCAGTAAGAGAGGCACAGCGAGGCTCACTCAGAATATCAACCACTTTAGTGTATATGTAATCTCCCAAATCAATATAAATATTTTCAAGCCAAATACTAATGGCTTCAATCAGTTCTTTTGCATGTCCAATGAGTGTACTTTCCGGAAGGTTTTTTCTTCTAGAAAGTGACTTGTGAAGATTGCAAATAAATACATATGCACCCTAATTTATTGAATGAGCATTTTTATTGATCAAAACATTTCTGTTTGTTTAGTTGATGTGGAAGCCTAGTATACAGAATAGAGAAATCATTTATCTGAATCTGAGACAAAGTTACCTTCAAAAGAAATATAGCTTTTTAAAAACTTTCAAAGAACATTTAACATTCCAGAAATAGTAAATGCAACTCTAATTGAAATGCACATTCTGAGAACCTTATTTTTTAGTGAATAGTTGTCTCATTGACAATTATACCACATCTACTTATTATATAATTATCACAATATTTTATAAATTTTCCCTACAGGCTGTATGCAATTGTTTGAAGCACAGAAAAAATAGTAGTTGAACATTTACCAAATGCAATTATGAAAAAAAAATCTTGTGTTATTTAAGGAGTGAATGTATAACTTTGTTGTGTTCAGTAGCAGCATTCATTGTTAAACCTGTTCATCTACAATGTTTTCTTTAGTAGAAGTTATACATATTAAGATGATCTCATATTTGTGTAGTGCCTTAGTATAGTAGTTAGTACTGAACATCAGACACAACAATATTGTTTGCTGTTTTGTCAGCAGGTATAACAATGTTTCTTGGAGTATTTAATTTGCTTTTCAGTCTTGGTATAGTTCAGGGACATTTGGCTACAGTGTATCATGTTTATATTTTTTCTTGCAGAATGTTCCAAATTTTGTGAGCACTGGAGTAAAGCAATAAACTCTGTAGATAATAACAGCCCTGGAGAAATCAGACAAGCTGTAGAAGCCTTTAAAGTCAAGGTAATTACTCTGCAATATTAAATTATTTATTTTTGTGTGGAACTAATTACTTGTTTAAAAAAAACAAAAAGGTGTTCCATAGTAACATTTTGAAAAAATGATAAATTACTTGAAGATTTGAAAAAATATAAATTCAAGTTGACCTTTTTATAAAAATAAGAAGATGTGGTATGATTGCCAATGAGACAACTCTCCACAAGAGACCAAATGACAGAAATTAACAACTATAGGTCACCGTACGGCCTTCAACAATACCGCGTAATCAGCTATATAAGGCCTCGAAATGACAGATGTAAAACAATTCAACGAGGAATTTAATGGCCTAATTTATGTACAAAATAATGAAAGAAAAACAAATATGTTACAAAGCAACAAACAATAACCACTGAATAACAGGCTCCTGACTTGGGACAGGCACATACAGAATGTGGCGGGGTTAAACTAGTTTGAAGGCGCCAACCCTCCCGTAACCTGGGACAGTGGTGTACCAGTACAACATAAGAACAAACTATAAAAATCAGTTGAAAAAGGCTTAACTCATCAGATGGATACAAATAGAAATACATCTAACAAAAACACAGAGTGGACGTGGCAGGGTACTTATACATCCCTAGAAAAAAAAGACACTTAGTACAGATCTGAGAGTACTCACAGTTACTGACAGCTAGTTTAAAGCCAATAACAACTAATAAAAAAAAATCATGCATCTAAGACTTAAATATCAATCAGTACACATCCAACATCCAATGGCTTTAGTTAAAGACATCATTAACAGTCAGAGAAAAACATGACCTTGTGCAATAAATGGTTTCCAGTGAAACCAGTAGGTCATATAGAATCCTACATGACCATTGAAATCCTTAGGCTTTATCCCATGTTACAACAGACCAATATAAATGACCACCAGTACTATAGATATTTTTTCAGTTGACCTATTTATGTTTCTGCTCCAACAGAGTGGGTTATACTGGTTTACCTCTATCTATCCTTCCTGCTGTCCTTCATTCTATCTCTTTCTGTAAAACATTTCTGTAGCATTTTTCTCATCAACTTAAAGACAGAGCTTCTTGATATTTGGTACCAAACCACATAATGGTAAGCTTTTCCATGTGACTCATTTTCAGATCCATTACTTATCTATTGGGTGTTTACTGAATACTTGTCTGTTCTTCACATTGATGCATGTGAAAGAAACTTTCATAGCAATTTTTTTAGCAACAACAAATTAGAGCTTCTTTATATCTGATACAAAAGAGAGGCGAATGATACCAAAGGGACATTCAAACTCACAAGTCGTAAATAAACTGACAATGCTATGGCTAAAAAAGAAAAAGACAAACAGACAAAAAACAGTTCACAAAACACAACATAGAAAACTGAAGACTGAGCAAAACCAAAACTGTGGGTGATCTCAGGCGCTCTGGAAGGGTAAGTAGATCCTGCTCCACTTGTGGCACCCGTCGTGTTACTCATGTTAGTATAAACACGGTGATAAGTCTTTCACATGCATCACCTAATTCAGTAGGTCACATTTGGGGAAAAGGGGAAAGGATTGTAGTTACGACTATTGGAACATATCCATTATCATCTGTGAAACGGGTATTCCATAACGGTCAACCAACTCGTGATGGCGTCCGTAAAATTTACGAAGGGATGATTTCAACTTCACCACTTGGAATTCTTGGATTAATAGCTTCCTTGTGAGCAGCAACCCTCTATCAAGGAAATCATGATAAGAAATACAAGCCCTGGAATTTCGTATCAACTGGGATGTATACTCCGTATGCAGGCGCTGCTGAAATGTTGCTACATAAAAATGGAAAGTTCACAATCAGGAAGCTGAAATCATCTCTTTTGTTGTAAAGTTTTATTTTCAACCGACCCTCATCGTCAATTTCAAGATGTAAGCCAAGATATGAGGCAGATTTAACTGTATCTGTTGTATCCTTTATCTCAAGTTCGATGGGATAGATGGGTTCAACATAGTTACAACATTTTGAATTATTTAGTGAGGGAACATCATCTATATAGCGGGAAGTAAAGTTAAAGGATACTGCTAGCATCTTTTCTTTCTTCCTAAGAAGTTTTTGTATGAAGTCAGCCTCATATGAATAAAGTCGGCAAGAAGAGGAGCACAGCTGGTTTCCATGGGAATGACGATTATTTGTTGAAAGAAATATCCTCCAAATGTAACAAATATGTTGTCAATCAAGAAATCAAGCATCTTGATAATGTCAGTTTCAAGGAACTTTTTTGTTAGAATCAGAGTGATTTTTTTACAAAGTACGATTTATCCCTCCCTAAGACAAGATACTTGTATCTACGTTGGCCATTCCTTTTTGTGAAACAAAGCAGGACCAACTCTTTCAATTTGTCTTTTAGTTTGGAATGGGGAATACTTGTGTAACATGTAGAAAAGTCAAATGTTTTAATACTATTGCAAGATGAAAGAGTGTTAGATTGTATGTACTCTAAAAGATCTTTTGAATTTTTTAGTATCCACATCTGATTCATGCCACCTCTCGAATATTAGTTTCACAATAACTTTGAACCCCAGCTTTGATTGCTGATAAAATTGATGTTAATAGTTAGAAAGAGGTGTCGTGGAGCACTTGGAAGACCCAGCAATATAAAGTTGTTTGTAAGGACACTTATGTAGTTGAGGTATCCAATACAGTGATGGAAGATCCAGTTTGTCATCTTTGGTTGAAATTCCAAAGGAACATAGAACAAACCTATGATTATCCAGGATTTCCTCTGTGGTAAGTGTCTTGGGGGTATATATCCTGAGTTTCCAAGTGAATTGTCAATACCTAATCCATTTATCAAGCAGTTTATGTAATGTGATTTACACACAAAAACGATGTTGTTTGGGGCTTTATCTTTCAAATTTGTCAGCAGACTATATCATGTGATACATTTCAGATCTGCACCTATCTACTTCCTGTTTGCTAGACAAAATGTATGTTCTGCACATACCAAGTTTCATATTGGTAAGCTTAACCATATGCTTATTTATCAACTACGTCATAGGCAAATAGCAATAAACAGATTATCAATGGTCTTTCAAACTTGAGGATATTTCTCAGCCATATCTCATCTCAGGGCTGTTGCCCTTCAGTGAGATTGTAGCAGAGAAACACCCTCTCATTGAAAAACCATCAATAATCTAAGTACATTATAATCATGAAATTCTAATAATTTTCAGTATATACACAGTATAAATACAATGAAGAGACTACTAATGGAGGCACAAACAGATTATTATGCATATTACAGGTATGTAAAAAATCCTATTTTATACTCATTTGGTTTAAGTTGCAGTTGCATCCACTCTCTGTCAGAAGGCACTATCCAACATTTACTTGCAAAAAGTCTTTCTTTCGAAATTATCTTTTCTCAGATATTGTTGTTTGTCTGAAACTTCATACAATACGTCAAATTTGCTGTTACTGTCTTCAGGAAATTTCTTGTAATAGTTGTTATTATGTATATTACTGGTATGTAAAAAAATCCTACTATTTTATACTCACCTGGTTTAAGTTGCAATTGCATCCACTATCTGTCAGAAGTCACTATTCAACAACTTGCAAAAAGTTTTCTTTCGAAATGATCTTTTTTTCAGATATTGTTGTTTGTCTGTTCAAACTTCATACCATAAGTCAAATTTGCTGTTACTGACTGTCTTCAGGAAATTTCAATTCTTGTAAAAGTTGTTTAAAATATATAAATTGTTCTTTCAAGAACATTGTTTGTACTTTTCCATATTTTACTTCTAAGAAAACATTTCTTGTTTATCATTTTTTTTTTTGTATGTTTTTTTAAATTTAAATTTCAACATATGAAAGAGAACAAATGTTTTTGATTTTCCTTTGATAGTCCTTCATTTTAAAAGAAATTATAAAATTACTCATTTAAGAAGAAATAGAAATCTTTCTAATAGGGTGACCACAGATGTAATGCTAAAATATAATTATGTTTTGACTTATTCATTTCTTTTTCAGAGCATACAAATTTATCATGAACTCAGGAAATTCAGAAATACTGTTGAGTTATGCACATTTGGATGAGATTGCCGAAGTGAAAGATGTGTTTACAGATTTGAAAAACTATCTCTTACACATCTAGTAACTGTATAGACATTTTATTTATTTATATTAAACATTGCAATAACTTATGCAACTTATTGTGACTTACCATAGCCATAAATCCATTTTTTTTTCTTTGTAACTTGTAAATTGTCTTGGTAAATGCTAGCGGTTAGATTTTATCTTGAAAAAGTACTGGAATATGAAATGGTATTTGTTCTCAAAATTGTCTGATTACATTTTTAAACCCATTACCTTGAAACTTCACCATTACAGACATAGTATTTGGAAGCTACTTTTAAGAATTATGATTCACTGATATTTTCTGGAAAAAGAATATGTTCTTTTTTTTTCATTTTGCTTATTTCGTAATGTTTACTTGTCACACAAATTTAGATATGTTGTATCCTGTGACTAAATGAAGGCCAAGTTCGATTTTCACGATTTTAGCTTTTATTGTTGTTGAGATGTAATCATTTAAGTAGTGACGCATGATACTTAGATTGATTTTGGCCTTTCCATTTCTGTACCCTACAAAAATTCTTTATTTTCTTTAAAATGATCCTGTTTGTTGGTCCAGTTTTGCAAATATCATTTTCATGCAGGAAAATCCAGTTTGCTGACAGCATCTTGTTTTGCTTTTATTTTGCAATGTTCACTTGTCACACTTAACTGTACATTAACGGAAAATAAATGTTACTAAAGTTTTTGAAGGCTGTTAGCTGTTAAATATGAACACTGGTTGAGTAATTCACAACTTTCACCCAAAACCATAGCCACTGCTTTGTTGCCTTCAATATAAGACATAGGTAAGGTAGCAATACACACACAGTTAGGAGTGTAGTTTCACATTTTGGCCATGGTGGTTTTTTCAAATATGAAAGTTATTGTGCAATAGAATTCATTTTTAGACAGCTGATGACTAATTTAGCCTTCAAAGTGGGTTTATAAGAACATCAAGATTATTTTTTACATGTTTTATGGGCTATTTTCTGTATGACTGTTTGTATTTTCATAACCAGACCGGCCATAGGTCCAGAAATTATTGTAATGTTTACAAACACTTTTTTTTCACACAAACTTTTTGACGCAATTTTACATGTGATTTTTATTTGATCTCTTGATAGATATATGTAAACAGTTTCAGAAAAGGTATTATCCAAGGGATTGAAATTCTCCTTTGGCCAAATTTTGGAGAAATATGTGACATCTTTACCCCCCTTTTTGCAATATTTTATAGCAATTAAATGCAGATTGTTGCCATGGATACACTAAAAAGAAATTTTATTTAACCAATTTGACTACTGGAAATCAAATCTTTGGAAGATACTGATTACATACATATGCACATATATGACACAAACAGTAGGCTTAATTTGTAAGAAAGCAAGGAAAAGGGGATGGTAAAATTTATCAGAGTAAATTTTAATTTTTTTCCAAACTATATATTGCTACCTTATGGCATACTTGGAAAGCTCAGAATAGCATAATTTCAGACTATTCATACCACAAATCTATTAAAATTTAGATTCTAAATCAATTTCTGAGGAAATAAAGTGTTTTAGAATGACAATACATGTCAATTTTTATTGTTTATTTTCCTTAGCAACCAAAAATAGACATTTTGACTTGAAGCTTATTTTTGTACTCTATTGGCTTAAACCTTGCTACCGAAGGATTGGGATGTATGTAATAGCCAAAGGATTGAACGCTTTGTATTTTTATTATGCGAATATATCAAATTATTATTTTTAGCAAGGTTTCATGTTACATTTTGTCAATAAATTAAATGTATAGTTGTTATTTACTGTTAGAAATTGATTCCCTTTTAGCAAGTTTCATAATCTAGGCTTTGGTATGCAATACATATAAAAATCAACATTTTGTGCTTTAAATTGGTTAATTTTGTACAATTTTGCATCTTCAGAGATCTTATTATGATTTGCAACATTAAAAATCAAATACAAGAGGTGCAGTTTTTAAAATTTAACCAAAAATTGGGGCAGAAATGAGATTTTACACTTTGACTTAGGACTTTTCTTTAAATCATTTTTTGTCGCTTTTCAGTGTCAACTGCTAACCTTCAGAAAATATTGATTACTCAAACCAACCAAACGTGTTTCAATAAATAAAAATAATAATCCAAAAAGCCCTAAAGCTCAAGGGAAATTCAAACTGAATGATAAAACCATGCCAACAACAAACCAAGGTACACATCTGGGTATTATTAGAGCAAAATAGGACCAACATAAAACAAACAGTACATGGTACAAATGGATTAAACCCTAAACATCATATATGAGATACAGAGTATATGTTCTGCCCAGTTTCTTATACAGTTTAGAACTATTGATGTTAACTGATGTTGACATCAAGTTACTCAGAGACTTCCATGTAAATTATCTAAAACAAATGCAAGCACTTCCTTCACAAATAGCAATTTCAGCAGTATATTTACTTTTGGAAAATTAATCTGCAAAGAGACACCAGTAACAAACCAACACTGAAATTCATTTGTATCCCCAATCTAGACATTGGTTAATCTCATACTATCTGGAACAGTTTACCAGCTAATATTGGCAAGATCAGGAAAACAACAATAAAGTAAGGCTATGTACCGGAACATATATAGTTTAAGCACAAAATATAAATCTTAATGCTACATGTCTAACCTATCAATTGGAAGAAGATATACATTTTTTAACTGTGTCCAGCTTTCGAAGGAATACACCGATATATATATTCATTTAATACTATCAGAGACTAACCACCTGTAGAATAGGGTTAGGACACTAGAGTTCAAATTTCATGCAAGTATTGCTCAGCTGATTTATGATTATCAACAACTGGCCATGACCAATATTCTGCCTCAGGATGAACTCTTCCTGAATACAATGGAGAAACAAAGTAGGAACCTATTATCACTTATGGTATAGACTACACTTGAACATAGTGTCCTTTATAAATAATTAGGATTCACAAGTTCAGTGGTTGTTTCGCGCTATACCTTTAATTTTTCTTACCGAACGTGTGAGACCCTCATGGGTAGTCAAGGCCGTTAAACACCCCCTAGTTGTAGTACTTTTATTTTTTTTTAAATTCTTAAAATAATAAAACAAATCAAATCAAGTAATTTTATTGGTGTAAATTCCAATACAAGAATGATACCAGCTGACATTTACATTATACAAAACCATACAAATACAACAATAAACAACACTTGTACAGAGACATATTTGTTTCTCAATGATCAGAGACGCACATTTTTTATATACATTGCTGGAAGGTGTTATTCATACTTTACTTAAAACATAATACAATCAGCTTTAACAATACAACAGTTCTTGACAACTTTATGTTTGATTTAAGTGAAGGTTCGTATCATGTATATCGTTTATCACAGCTACACATACAGTAAATATGTCAGCATCATTATTTTTCCAAATGAAACTAAATTTTTCTTGTTCAGACAAATAAAAAAGATGGAACTATATTACTTAAATTACAAAAAAAGATTATATATTTCTGCTAGTGCTTTACATTTAATAAGAAAATGGCATGTAGACACTCTATAGACATAGCACATAAGCAAAAATAAAAGACAAGAATACAAAATATGACCATAGCTCATTGTTGAAGGCCGTACGGTGACCTATAGTTGTTAATTTCTGTGTCATTTGGTCTCTTGTGGAGAGTTGTCTCATTGGCAATCATAACACATCTTCTTTTTTATATAGCACAATAACACAATGGCGGGATGTACAAACTGTACAAAATTTACGGACAATATACATTGCGTCTTTTACAGTGTATGTCCTACAAAATGATACGCAATTCCGCCAATCACCATGTCTATTGGTATTTTGAGTTAAATTGATTGGGGCTTACATTAGCCAATAATGATAATAAAAGTACAAAGAGACATAAAAATCTATTGAACTTCATAGTGTGACCAGGCAATACTTTTAATTTTGGAAAACTCTTGTAGATAACATCGTATTTATATTTTGACCAAATTGAAAGGCATGAATGATCAACATTGAGTTATTTGCCAGACGTATTTATGATTATCAACAACTGGCCATGGCCAATATTCTGCCTCAGGATGAACTCTTCCTGAATACAATGGAGAAACAAAGTAGGAACCTATTATCACTTATGGTATAGACTACACTTGAACATAGTGTCCTTTATAAATAATTAGGATTCACAAGTTCAGTGGTTGTTTCGTGCTATACCTTTAATTTTTCTGACCTAGTTGTAGTACTTTTTTTTTTTAAATTCTTAAAATAATAAAACAAATCAAATCAAATAATTTTATTGGTGTAAATTCCAATACAAGAATGATACCAGCTGACATTGACAACATACAAAACCATACAAATACAACAGAGACATATTTTTTTCTCAATAATCAGAGACGCACATTTTTTATATACATTGCTGGAAGGTGTTATTCATACTATACTAACAACATAATACAATCAGCTTTAACAATACAACAGTTCTTAACAACTTTATTTTTGATTTAAGTGAAGGTTCGTATCATGTATATCGTTTATCCCAGCTACACATACAGTAAATATGTCAGCATCATTATTTTTCCAAATGAAACTAAATTTTTCTTGTTCAGACAAATAAAAAAGATGGAACTATATCACTTAAATTACAAAAAAGATTATATATTTCTGCTAGTGCTTTACATTTAATAAGAAAATGGCATGTAGACACTCTATAGACATAGCACATGTGCAAAAAATAAAAGACAAGAATACAAAATATGACCATAGCTCATTGTTGAAGGCCGTACGGTGACCTATAGTTGTACATTTCTGTGTCATTTGGTCTCTTGTGGAGAGTTGTCTCATTGGCAATCATACCACATCTTCTTTTTTATATAGCACAATAACACAATTGCGGGATGTACAAACTATCGTAATATGGTTCAAAATTTACGGACAATATACATTGCGTCTTTTACAGTGTATGTCCTACAAAATGATACGCAATTCCGCTAATCACCATGTCTATTGGTATTTTGAGTAAAAATTGATAGGGCTTACATTAGCCAATAATGATAATAAAAGTACAAAGAGACATACAGATCTATTGAACTTCATAATTGTGACCAGGCAATACATTTAATTTTGGAAAAAATTTTGTAGATAACATCGTATTTATATTTTGACCAAATTGAAAGGCATGAATGGTCAACATTGAGTTATTTGCCAGACGTAGGTAATTACAGGAGAAAATGACTTCGAGTCTGATGTTTTTAGACGAAACGTGCGTCTGGCGTACACATTTTTAACCCTGGGATCTATGATGAGTTTATTTGGTTGTATACGATACAGAAATTTTAAGGTTGTTACATACACAAAAATATGAACATTAGCTTATAATATATATTTTAAAATCTGTTAAATCATTGCTTATACTTATGTCCCTCTTCTTGCAGTTTTCTGGTATTCCTAAGTACCAGTTTAGTTATCTGTCCGATGTTGTCTACATCCTGAGCAGTATCCAGTTCATTTCTAATATCTTTTATCTGAGAAATCACCTTTATTCGTTCGATTTCCTGAATTATAAATATCTATGTTAGAAAATTACATTATTCATATCATCTGAATTGTATAAGATGTAAGAAATATTTCATTGTAAGCCTAGTAGAACCATAGGGAAACATTGAAATTCTATGTTAGATTTATTTGTATGTTTGTTTTAATTTTTTAGTCAGTTGTGTTGTATGTCTGTGATGTATGTTTACACAGTTTTGGCCGCTGAATCCCAATTATTGTAACATTAACCTTTTATGTATGTTTAGGTAGCTCACCAAATTTTGTCAATATAACGGAACTAAACACAACCAAAATTTATAAGAAACGGACAAATTACCTTGCTTATTTTTATTTAATTTTCTCAACTGTGATGCATTCTAATACTTTCATTTGTATGAAACATTTCCACCACCAAGGAGAATATAGGTATGTTCTTATAGCTTTAAAGGTTATCTCAAATATAGGATATTTGTGTCGAAGTAAGATTCCACTCACAGGAATTCAAATAAAAAAAACGGTTTTTCAAATCAACCTTTCATTATAATAATATTCCTGAAATTTAAGAACTATCCATTTTATTTTGTCTTCCGAACATTATTGATACAGGTTATTATAATTATTGCCGTATTAAATTTTGTGAAGTTGATGTACGAAATCTAAAGGCACGATTTCAACATGATACTTGAGTTTGTCGGTATAATTATAATAGTATTATTTGATACTATATCATAGACTATATATTATTACTATACTACATAATAAAATATTGTTTGCGGTGATCCATTTGGGTGGTAAAATACCCCTTAATTTTTCAAGAGTAAGGAGAGATATACAGATAATGTGAATACACAGAACCCCGATCCAATCCATCCTTTGCTAAAAATGTTACATTTTTGATTGTATTTTACTTGTCTAAAAACGCCTATTTTTTGTATTATTTCCATTTACTAATTAACAGCTGGATATCCTCATATTTAACGACACTATTGTAAAATTAAACGCCCGATGATTAGACATAATTTTCCGGAACTTATGTCTGTTGGGAAGAGAGACACACAGATAGAACTAGGTCATCGGTCCACAGGTGAATCTGAACAACTTTAACACTAACGTATTGGAAAGCACATTTTTCTTTCCAATTCTGAAGTGAGTCTTTATCTAGACCCCAGTATTGATTATCGATCGAGTTGAAGTCATATCAGTATTTCAAAAGTTACATACATGTACCTCCCTTGCAAGCATGCGTTATAATTTTTTTACGCAACCTGATAGATACTGAACCGTCGCCACTCAGAAAGTAAGTACTCTGATTAGGTTTTATCCCAAATTTACAAGCCAATATATATTATGTATGCCGTTCTTATGTGTGTTTATAATTTATTTTCACCGAAATATGGTTAAATAAAGTTCTTATTTGTTTTTGCTAATTCCTTTACTCCTATTCCCTACCCCCTAACTACTAGACAAAAACCGGTCAAATTTTTTTCAGTGCATCCCTTTTTTTTTTAACTCTCCCTCTTCTCCAAGTCCCTAACTTCCGCTTCCCACCCTTAATTCCCATGTTCAGATGCGGATCAAGGATTTTGAAAATGGGAAGGGGGACCTTAGGGCCACCACACTAGGCAACGTTTGGAGTGGAACAGGTAGAAAATCTAAATTAACCATAAATGTAGGTCCATTAGGGGGGACCAGGGTACCCTGGTCGCCCTAAATAAAGGCAACAGTAGTATACCACTGTTCGGAATTCATAAATCGATTGAGAAAAAAACAAATCCGGGTTACAAACTAAAACTGAGGAAAAGACATCAAATATAAGAGGAGAACTACGACACAACAGAAACACAACATTGATATGTAACACACACAGAAACGAACTAAATCTGCCTATGATGTTCAATTACCCCTGCCCTCAAAGCATGTGCAGTCCTTTTTATAACCCTTTCTCCTTATTTTGTATGAAATTTACAATATAGAATTAAAGATCACAGATTCAAAATCCTCTTTTTTAAATATATTTAATTCACAACATACTATCAAGCAGACTGATAATTAATAACTGTTACATGCATGGCCTAAATGTATTAAAAAAATTAATAAAGTAAAACAAGGCAGTTTATATTATACGCCTCTAATTAAAGTTTTCCCCGTCCTCTAATATACGCCCAGTTCATGGATAAGGCCTCGCATCTTTAAAACTATCATTTGAAACAATTAAAAAAAAAATGTATATCAAATTCATCAAAAATATGATTTGATATCTTCATCATCTGATTTGATGTATACAAATAAATTGAAATAATGATACCAATTTCAACTTGCCCTTTCAGAATCTAAAGGACTATGTGTAATTTCATTGTAATTACATTACAAAATGAAAATAACGTCACTTCATTGGATTAATTTCCACTAGAACACACCCGCGAAATCGCTGTCATTTAGAGTGTGGTTGAAAGTATGTAAACTGTTGTAGGATGAATTTTTGTAAAAGATTTTATGACTGGAGAAATTCAGGAGAGGTATAGGTTATAGTTATAGTTATAGGTACTTGGTGAAAGGACATTTTTTTGTAGCCCTCCCCCTTTTTTCCAAAGTCCGTTATTTTTTGTTTTCTGTTTTTCTGTATACTATGAACATACATATACTATAAATAAATTGTATTTGCTATTTACTGTCAATTCCAAGTTGTAATACTATCCTAGGCGATATAGTCATTATAGAGACTCTCTATATAATATATCAGTGACAGCCGCGGATAGTAAATAGCAAATACACTTTATTTATAGTATATGTATGATCATGGTATACGGAAAACGCGAAAATAATTGTCCTGTCCCCAAGTACTTATGAAAATTATGTGTAATTTTAAAAACAGTCCTAAACGGAAGTCCGTCCGATGACGGAAACAACATTCGGACGCCTTTATTTTCGTTTTTCTCCCAAAATAACCCAAACTGAATAATCATAAGCGAGGATGACAAATGCGACTATGCACGGTACCTATAGGACACAGAGGCATAATGATTAATTTATTGTGGAAAGAAGAGAAGCGACACACAAAATGAGGTCTTCTCATTTAATAGTATAGATTGTTTGGAGGGATTTTAACCAATCACAATGTTTTGGTGTACGCTTTTGAAAATGTTACCCAAAAATGCATTAGATTCTGAAACGGCGAATTGAAATACAAATGTACTACTGAAGTATTGATCCTTTGCCATGACAATAACTCTACATATTGAAGTGATATAGTCTTGGGATTTCAGATTTTTTTGCCATCTTATCTATATCCATGTCCTAAATTAGGAGTTAATTGTCATATGTCATATATCTGATTATTTCCTGTTAGTTGGATAATTGTAGGTATAGTAGACCTTCATCTACATGTATTTTCATTACTTTCAATGTCATAGGTTCAGATTATCTGATTGTTCTATTTATAGTAAACCTTATCTACTTACTAATTAAACAGCCCTCACTTGCCGACAAACTTGTTATTATTATTATTAAATTATTAAGAATTGAACTTTTGATTGCTGTATTTTTGTTAGCTGTAATACCGGTATTTGTCAATATGTATCCGTCCGAAATGAGGAACTGCGTCAGTGGTTGTCATTATTAAGGATCTGAGTGTGTTTGTCCATTTCGGATTTTGGTGTTGATAGTGTACCTTTTAGAGTATAGAGTTGACACCAAAGACTTTATGATAACAAATATAGAAGACACAAACAATCCTCACTGATGACATTCAAAATTACCTTTCTATCCATAAAGACAACTAAATTATCCAAAGAAACTGGTTGACAAAGTGTTAAATAACGATGATGCAAGTATGCCAATGCAGCGGTAAGTTGTGAGACCAGACGAATACTCTCCTTAATGGTAAGTTTCCTCGTAGCAAACAGTTCTCTCAGCGTTATGTGCCTCGTCTGAAGAATCTGTGCATTGTTGATAAATACAGAAGCCTTGCAAATTTCATCAGATGCATCTGAAATAGTATATAATTTTTAGTAGACATAAACAATTCGCAACATTTTGGTTTGAAGGACACAATCAATAAGCATTCACAAGAAAAAGACGGTAAAACCTCCTTTTTTATTTTTTCGAACATACCACATAAATGTAGGAGCATGCTTGAAATATTCCAGAAAAATGAAATGCCCAGTCAAGTAACAATACCTAAATACCAAAAGCTTTATCAGTTAATTTTCGTTTTTGATTATGACGTTTCTCCTCCGAAGTTATCTACAGACTTTTTATTATCCCTCCAATGCTTTTGTTCACTTTTTTTGGCCTTTTGTTCACTTTTTTATTCGAGCGTCACCTATGAGTATATTTTATAGACGAAACACGCTTCTGGAGTACACATTTTCATCCTGGTATCTTTGATGAGTTTATCAGTGCTGACATGAAATATCATTGATAATCATAAAGACCTGAGAATCAAAATAACTACTGCCAGGTTTAAAACTTTCTTCAACTTCGTTATTGATTTGGCTGCCAATTGTTTGGATTCGAGTGCCACTGGTGATTATTGTTTAGACGAAACGCGTGTCTGAATCCTTAATGATAAATGCTTGTATCTTTGGTAACATTTCTGTTCTTACCATTACGTCGGTCTTTAACTTTAGACATCTGAAATATTTTGCTAGACATCTTACCCAGAATATTGGGTTTCTACAAATGAGCAATCAAATATGAATAATTAAAAAAAAAACGGTTTTTAGATTAAATTCCTTGATATGCATTCAGCAGGTATATAACAATAATCTATATACAATTAATGATTTAAGATATGTTGTCCGATTACTGTAACCCCTTAGTGTAAGAAGCGGCTTGTACATAATGGATTTCCAGTTTTAATCAGACATATATAAGCCGATGTAATTGGTTACTGGTCATGCCGTTTTTCCCCTTTATGCTTTAGTTAAATAAGCATCAAGTTTTAATGCGCTAACTTATTTCACATGCATTAAGCAAAAAAAAAGTATAAACAGTATTTCTATAAAAAAGCATACTATTTATATTATACCAAAACTTAAGGAGTGGGGCTATATTACAATCAACCTGTCCGTCCATTCATCCGTCCATCAATTTTTTCTCGTCATGAAAAAATCGTCCCTTCTTCTCTCGTACTACTAAACAGAATGACGAGATAATAGTCTACAGGTGGACAGTGATGAGTTGTCACATGTGAAAACATTTCAGATTTCAGAGGTACACTTGCTGACTGTCGATTCTCTTAATTCTTCAATACATTTAATGAATTCGAACTCAATACACTTGTTACACATTTTTCCAGTAATTAAATGAAGGTATTCCATATAAGATGACATGAGAGAGTATGTTCCTTGTATAACAGTGCTATTAAAAATGTATCAATTAAAACTTATAATAATATGATAAGAGGTTTACTATAATAAAGTCAACAACTTGTGTTTCAAAAAATATGAGACAAGAATAAAGAAACAAATATCAAGCGGGACATGATATCATACAACCGACAATCAAGGTCAGTCCGTGGGAAATTCAAATACCCCGGATAGAATATAGATTAAGAAAAATAAATTTTCTCAAAATTATATAAACATAAATAAAGCATTCCTTCAGTTTTAATTGTATGTTTTGTGTGAGGTCTGACTTGATAATGTTAATATAATCGTTTTTCAAAATATACCTAATCAATCACGGTAATAAAGTTTTACTTTGAGCAAATGTGTATTATTGTTAAGCATAAGTACCTGCTTTATTGTTGAAAACGTATAAAGAAAAGGGTTCAATGCTGCGTTTAGTGGCATCACAAATACAGCCACCCAAGAATAAACTTCTGACGGAAATACTTGACCAGCCATTGCTAGTATACCTAAAAAATGAATAGAAAAATAGATCAATTTCGGTATTATGAAGATATTACCATAGTTCATATACTACTAGTATGTCTTCATTTAAACTGAACTTAATGCAAATGCATTACATCTATATAATAATATTATCGGTACCAATTATCTGCACCTGATGCTCATTTCGACAATAAAAGTTTCTTCAGTGATACTCGAGGCAAAAATATTTGAAAATCCAGAAAGCTATAAAAAGTTGAGCATAAGCCGAGCACGGAATTAGAGCTTTGCATGAGGGACAAATAAGCCAATTTTAGTAAATTTCTCTACTGATTCTTTGCAATCCAAGATGGCGTAAACAATTTTGATACTCCTTACTACATAAACAGTGAAAATAACACCTAATAAGTTTAATGCGTTCGAAGTGCTTATCTGGATGTACCTTCATCAGGAACACTCGAAACCAATTATTTGAAAACCAAGGATGGTTAATTACCGAAACACTTAAACAGCTGTATGACCAAAAAGGACCTAAAAAATAGCAAAATCCAGCTGTGGTCAACTTTGCATGAGGGAGTTGGAACCTCATAGTTTCTTAATTTCAAAATTGATAAACGGACAATTCAAGAAAAGTATGCTTTATATCATGTCAGTATCCAATCACTGACTACTGAGCTGTGCAGGTACATTAAGGGGGTACCCAACAATTTTCACAAAATAGATTTGGCTCGTTAAATTTTCATTCAATCTATACAAAATATTTACTTTGACCTGATGACAAAAATATTGTCAAAACATTTGAAGAACACAATTTACAGGAATAATTTCATTGGATATATAGCAGTTTGACATACATTAATTTTGATCATTGAGAAGCTTGGTTCTCTTTAATAATGGTATGTGATTAAAACGTTCAGCTGATTTTTAAAGATGTAAGTCCCTTAGGTGTTCAGTACCCATCTTAAGGTGTTAATACCGCTATTTTGTGTTTTACATATCAATTCTCGTACCTTGATTTATGGATGACTTACCCATTATTCCAACAGGAAACCAACAAAGAAAGTCCGTTAAAACAATTAAGAATAATCGTCTAGCCAGTGTTAGGTCTTGTTTTGTCCTCTTCGTCATTATTCTATTACTACTTTTAGCTATTTGGTAAATTGACAATTGGCACCAAGCTATTACAATAAACGCAATACAATTGAAAAACACGAAAATAGCTGTTGAATATTCCCATCCGCTGACTTTCTGTCGGGAAAATGGTAAAGCCAAACAAACTGCTGTTCTGGAATAAAACATATTAGAAAAATATGCCGTTTCAAAAATCGGGACCACAGCTATAATGATTACAAATAACCAGCAAACCAAAGTCGAAACCTTTGCTGTTTTGTATGTTATCCTCCATCTGCCAAATGGGAACTGTACCATTAGATAGCAATCAAAAGTCGTTAACATGACAAAACAAACAGATGCCTCACATGAAATGGCCGCAAGGATACCTGCAAATTTACATACAGTACTATCTCGCCATTCTCTGTCATGTAAAATGTAGTTTCCAGAGTAGTACATATCAACAAAAGCAATGATCCCTAGGTACACACCCATCAACATGTCTGAAACACCAAGGTTCATAATAAATAACCAATTTGCCTTAAATACCAGCGTGTTTTCGTAGATTATACGATAAAGTATAACTCCAACATTTCCAATTAAGGCATTTATAGCAATAATCCATAGGCACCCTCGCAATACATCATTTCTCATCAAATCCCTACACGAGGAAAATTCGTCCATTTTGGGGAAACAATTGTCTGCGGAAACAGATTCTGGTTTTAAACAACAAAATATATAGGAATCAGTTTTCATTTGTGTTAAATGAGAAAGGCGAGAAAATATATCAGGAGAAAATTTTGTCACATCGTTTTGTCTCAAATCAATAAACAAAAGAGATACAAGTCCATCAAATCCGTTTTTCTCTACAGTTGTTAGTCCATTCCCTGTTATGTTAAACGTTTCAAGGTTTTCTAAACCATTAAAAGTCCCATTGAAAAGTTTTATTATTCTAGTTCCAGACAGTTCCAAATCTTTCACATTAGGTAATGACATGAACGTATTTCGTTTGATTAATCCCAGCATCAGATTGTCTTTTAAGTTTAAGGTTACTAGTTTGGTGAGACCATAGAACGTGTAACTTTGCAGAACCTTCAATTTGTTATTGCTCAAATCTAAATGAAGGAGGTTCATTAATTGTTCAAATGAGTATGGCATAATATTGCCAATGCTGCAGTTGAACAGTTTGAAATCAGCAAGATACGTATATGCAGGAACAATCAATTCATTATTTGGAAACAATGAGCTGCTCAAATCTAATTTTCTAGCTTCAATAGACAAATCCCTGAAAATTGTTTCTACTTCTTTTTGATGACATATAAATACTAAACCTTCACATGAACACCCAATAGGACATGTGATATAACATCCAACTTCATCATCCCCATGAGGACATTGTCTAATGTTGTCACAAACCTCATCAAATAACAAACAAGTGGTTGACTGTTGACATCTATATAATCCAGGACAGGTCAAATTTCCTGAAAGCAAACATATATAAAAACCTCATCAAATTTGTATAAACTATCCCAAATTAAAAGATGATAATGATAAGTTGTGATTGAAAATTGAAAAGTTGATAAATTAGAAAAACCAAATGTCTAAATCTTAAGTTTCCATTCCCTTTCAGAAAAGTTGACATTTGAAGGTTTTGGCTCTGTTTATATCCTCTTAGCGATCGATGCTTCCCTACTGAAATTGATATCATACCTTTGTTCATATTATTATTAAAACAAATTTATTGTAGATTTTGAGAAAGAACATGTTATGTTATAAGCATTTTTATCTGTAATGATTACCCTATCATAAAAATGTAAAGTATCTTTTGAAACGGAAAAGTGATAAAACAATTTAGACGAGATTCAATAGTACATTCATTTGTTTCGGGAATACTTGCATTGGCTTGTGAATATAGATATTAGCTCCCTTATAATTCCTTAGCTTTATGTATTCGTTTACCGGAAGCTGATGAGCGATGGATGTGAAAACGAAAAAACGCAGGTAAAGCAGTTAATCCCTTATTTCGTAGCGCGATCAAATAAAGTGCAACAGAATCTGATGAAGGTAAAAGCTTTTCATTTACAACAGAGTAACCGAATTAAATTGCGGGCCTTTTAAGGAGTCTTTTTAGATCATTCCTGAATCTACATGTTGATTCTTTGTCGTTTTCGGTTATTCTTATGTTTTTGTTTTTTGTTTTATCAACTCTTCAAATTTTGTTTTTGCTTTTTTCTTTCCAGACATTTTGACCTCGAGCATCACTGAAGAGACATTAATTGTCGAAATGGGCATCTGGTGCAGTACATTTGGTACCGAGTATGTTATTGACTGATATTTTAACATTTTTCTTTATTATACAGCTAAGAATATTTCTTTCTAAATTTCTTAACTGTATAATAAAGAGACGGTTTTATAGGTTCTGTTAAGCCATTTCTAGATTTCACGCTTTTGAAGGTTTTTGGATGCGTCAACTTTTGGTCTCGAGCATCTTGTTAACTATGAAAATAAAGAGATGTTGAATGATTGCATATGAGAGAACTATCCATCAGAGACAAACGGACGAGGATGAAACTAAAGGGTACCGTACAGCCTTCAGCAATGATCAAAATCCATTTCGTAAAGTAAGCTACAAAAGGCTCCTGCGGGACAAAATATAAAACAATTTAAAAGAGAAAACCAATGGACTATTTTATGAGAAAACAATCGTCGAAAAAAAAATATGGCAAACAGCAGCGAATGACTTGGGACAGGCACAAACATGATGTGGTGGGGTTAAACATTTTTGTGAGTGCTCAATCCTCAACTTACCTGAAATATTAGTGTAACTAAACTGGGACATTAATGTAATGGCACAACTCAAGAACAAACTATGAGAATCAGTTACAAAAGACGTGACTAATCAAATTGGCACTTAGCAAACAAAAACTCAATCAACAGAAAAAAAATACACACGGTACCGACTTTAATGTACACGCAGTTTCTAAAATCTATTTCGAAACCAATTCCAATTAATAAATAAACCATGTTTCTCTAAACTGAAATTTCAATAACTACACATCCAAAAGATTTTTTGTAAAGGCGTGTCAAACCGTCCTAGAAAAACCTGGCATTGTCCAATGCCAAAATATTAACATCAACGGGAATGTTCATAATTCAACAGCTAAATGTTTTAGTTATGTTTTAATTGATTAAAAACAAAAACAATGTTAGCATCGATGAAGACAATATAGCTATAGTCTGATGATACTTATTCAAGAAATAGCGTGTGCATTAGAATGAAAACAACTTATTATGTCAAGAAGACTTATAATCCATGGTTACCACAAAATAATTCATCATCGCCATGGGTGCAATGTTTTCTGCCGTCACAAAGTAAGCTCGATGAAATGCAGTGACCCTCTTTGCATTTGAAGAATCCTGGCTGGCAAATCTCTTTTTCTACAAAAAAATTATTTTATAAAAGTGTATTTTTGGGGGGATTGAAGAAAGATTCGCAGATTTATAGTTTGAAACAAGAATGGAATGTTTTCTGCAATTAAACACAAGATCATTCAATTATAGACATTTGTCCATTCGATACATAGAAGAATAAATCGTACCAAGTTTTAGTAAAAAATGAAAACAACACGTTACAAATTGCATACGTTCGAAGCGCTTTTCTGTCTTTTTTGTTTTTCGTTTATTGTTTTGTCTTTCATATTTGGTTTTCGGTTATTGTTTTATCATGTAAAAGAGAATGCGAAGAACTACATATTATTGTTTCTGTTGAGATATATTTCTTTGAAGTTTTGCTGTAAAGCCTCTTCTTTTTATTCAATTTTGGATTTCAAAGCATACCTCATCACAATATTACCGAAAGCCATTTTGTATTGTAGAATTTTGGTGACGTTTAGGTATGCAGTAAGTTAAATGGTTGGAGGTTTAGATCGTCCTTTTTGATGTTAATACCAAGGGAGAAAAGGGCGGATTTATGATTTTAAAAACATCTCCACTTTCCACTTTCGTGAATGATTTAGGGGCATATGTAAGATTCCCAGTCTTGCTTTGAATTCCAAGTTCTTTAATGAGACATTCCAAATAATAATTTTTGCATCTAAAACAATATTGCTTGAAGCTTTGTCTGCTGAAACAATAAACAAATTTGTCTCGAAGAGAGGATAAAACAACCACAACCTCGGGCTTCTTGAAAGGATAAGAAAACCATGTGCTAATTATACATCGTATATTTTGAATACGCTTCTAAATGCTTGATCGAACAGCTTCGATTCATTCATACACAATGTCTAGTTTTGTCTCATCAGTTTGTTAGTCAGTCGTAACATTTCATTTTTCGAGCTAAACAATAAACAAGCTGCACATGAGTTTGCCTTTTTCCTGAATTCCAACATCCAAAATAAGTGCCAATATAAATGGTATTTATGTCTTACAACGTCCTTGTTGTCATAAGTCCATTGAACTATATTACCTTACTGTACTAACGCTCATGTTAAATCAAACCAAGACCAAATACGTAAAAGTTTCAAATCAAATTTATTTTCCCCTATTGTTCTATACCATTTCATTCATATTTGACGTTCTCTTTTTGATTTTATGCATTTCAAAACATTATGTGCAAATTTGAAATACTTCTCACACACTTTATTTATTTTGGCCAATACCATCCCTTTATGCGCCTACTTTTTTTTAGGTTGAAAATCGGATGAAAACCCTATCAAAAAACCATAGATTAAAGAACCTTTACATTTGTTCAAACTCAGTACAATATCACAATAAAAAGATGGTGGCTTTGTAACTCGACTCCAGTCGTAGGTACCGAACAGTTTACGTGTTAACTGGGGGACTATTCTTAGTCATTTGAACAAGAGAGGTGGAAGATACCAAAGGGATATACATACAATTAGTCGAAGAAACCAGACAGATTCTGCTCCACATGTGAGGGGAGTGTTTTTATAATACAATTTGTTTTTCTTACCACAGTGCTGAAGATGAGTCATATCTCTACAACCATTTACATCACTTCTTTCATTTACACGCATAATGCAACGATCTGTATTGTTATACAACTTTCCATCAGAACAAAGGGACTGGCTACTTGAAACATTTTTCGAAATTTCTGACAAATAAATATATGAAAATGTAGTTTACCGATGTTCAAATCTTATAAATCGATAAAAAAAAGATAAATGAAGGGAACAAACAAAAAGTGAGGGACTCCAAGAAAACAAAGATGACATCATAAGTCACACTATAAACGCATTCATCTAAGAGGATGAAGCACAAATTAAATAGCGGTGTACGAATTACGTATCTAACTGACACAAAAAGAGACATTACAAGAATGCATATGACTTTAAACAGGAAAAGATGGCAGACATTATCAATTAAATTTCGTGCCACACTTTTACATATATATTTTTTAATTGAATATCTTAAGTATGGTGTTTTTTCGGAAACAATAATACAAGTTTATAAGTTTTTTCAGCTAACACATTTTTACATATAATCATGCTGTCTGTTCTTTATAGTTTACCTGATTTACAAACAACAGGTCCAACTGTCACCTCATAAAACCCCTCGTCACTGAAAGATTTATGTGGAACATCATAACTATGAAAAGGAAGTCTATCGGGATTAGAAAGTACTAGAGTATCAGTAAACATTCTATTGACATCTGCTTGACTCCAGTCCATTCCTCCAGTACAATGACAACTACAGAAAAAGTAAACTAATGTGATGATGATAATGGAATAAACTTTGTTTGAAACAGTTTTATATAGTATCTATACGGTATGAATTGTAAGGTGTTATATTGTGCAATATTGAATTAGCGTTTTGTCTGACTATCAAATACTTGCATTTCTATTGACTTTCAAATATATAGTAAAATTACGTTGAATTTATCATGTTCAATTATTTATGTGTTTTGATAAGGAACATATAAAAAGGTTATAAATGTAAAGCATAAAATGTGACCATTAGAGACGGAAAAAAACAAATATACTAAACTTCAAGAGCTCAAACAAACTCGATAAAAAACTGCTTTTTTACTACAAAAATCTGACACAATACCGTTTACTACAAACAACTAATATTTATCACAATCAAATTGATTCGACATGTGTCGAAACCATTTCCACATAAACTTTCATCAGGGCTTACAGTTCGAAGAACAAGCACAATCAGTAGATGGTGGTAAACAGTGTAAAAGTTTTCTGAAATTAATAGATACATTCGTAAAAAAATTACTTTGACTAAGTGAGTAAAATGCTTGGGTTTTGTATAAATGAAGCGACTCTGACGACTACGTGAATGATGGTACTTTGTTCATCAGAATTAATTTTAGTTCATATACTTGCCTTTTATTGCATGCCTCAACAACCATGACAACAGATTCTGTATACTTTCCAGAGTCATCAGAAGATATAGCGTCGTGGTAATAGCATGTTAGTTTCACATTTTGTGAACACTGGTGGTTGTCCTT